GAAGAGAAGAGCAGACGCGGCCCAAGCCCTGACCCTGGATGACCACAGTGGCTCTGAACACATCAGCCCCGAATGAAACGACCCCAACACCCACCGGCAGGAGCAGGTTCAAACCACGTGCGGATGCCACCAACGTGGCGAGGGAGCCGCGGGGCTGCTGTGGGCGATGCCCGGGGCACCTGGCCGGTGGGGGAGCCTGGCCCCGAGCGCTCGACACTCACCCGCGGGTGATGGAGACATCCCCGTCCTGCGGGCCGTGGCGGACTCGGGCACGCGGCTGCCAAAGCTCACACCTCCAGCTGAAGGCCCTCCCGCGAGTGTGAGCTCACCCTCTGTGGCCGGCAGAGGGCGCCAACAGGAGGATGTGGAGAAATGTGAACGCGCAGTAAGCCTGTGGAAAGATGTCCGACCCCGCGAAATTAATTCATAAGCCTCAACAGGAAGGAAAATTAAGGGGCAAGTGCAAGGGTCCAAAATGCCCCAGACCCCGCTGAAGCTGAGGGGGGGAGGAGGAGGCTGCTTTGGGAATCCCAGCAGAGGGGCAGGGATAGGAAGACGCCAGGGCCGGGGGTCACTGGGAAGGGGTGCTGTCCACTCCCTCGAGGAAACCCACGAAACCGAGCCTGCCTGTCACAGCCCCGTGGGCCTGGCACCAGCTGTTGGGAAGAGCAGAGAGCTCTCCCGCCACCACCAGGAAGGAAAGACCACAAGACGAGACCAAGGCCAACGCCGGGTGCACCTCAGGAGGCATCACAGACCTCGAAAAGACAGCCAAGAAGCCTGCATCATCAGAGGAGGGTGGTTTCAACACATTGCCGAAAACGGATTACCAGTCCCTAAAAAGCTGCTGAGACTCAAGTAGGGGGAAAAAAAAAAGGAGAAAAAATTGGCAAAAGAAATGAACAGGAATTTCGCTGATGAGGAAGTACCCATGGCCTACATCGGTGATCAGAGAAACTCAGATTAAAACCGCAATACCATTTCACACCCACCAGACGGGCAACAATTGAAAGTCAGGCGGTGCTGGCAAGAAGGCAGAGCAGTGGGGATGCGGCGGGGGTGGGGAGGCCGGAGCTGGCATAACCGCTCCAGGAAGGCTCCTGGTGGTGACGGCCAGCACACGCCCCCCAGACCCTACTGCCTGCGGCAGAGGGCCAGTGCGAGAATGCCCGCCCACGGGGTGCATTCGTAACTGGCCCAAACCTGTGGACAGCCACAGGTCCCCCGACAAAGCAGAGACACGTGCTGCCTGTCTTACAGGGAACACCACGCCGCAGGCACAGCCATCAGCTCGATGCCGCTCAGAAACTTAGAGACCGGGCAAGAGGAGACGTGCAAACGGACAGAGAGTGGGATCCCTTCTACATAAAGTCTCCGAGCGAGCGGAACGAAGAACAGCCTATCCAAGGAAGCCTGCTCGGGGGTCCAAGCGGGAGGCCCGGGTGCTGCGGGGAGGGCCGCGCCGCGGCGCGGAGGGTCTGTTCTGTGCGTCCGACCCCTGAGCTCACCCTGCCTGGCCACCGGCTCTTCAGGCCCCTCAGCCCTGGGTATGTATCGGCCAGCCCTTCCCCACAACGGGGCCCAGAGGCCAGAGCCTGCTCAGAGCTGAGTGCAGGAGAGTGGGCTTCCTACACCAGCTCCGTGGGGGGCCGACGGGGCCCCTCGACCACGCAGCCCCTGCCCACCTGCCACCTCCCTCACCTCCCTCTGGTCAAAACTTCGGTGGTCTTTCGGGGCACCCCAGGAAGCTGCTGAAGAGGTGCAGGAAGGGGGGCAAGCATGCCCTCAGGGAACGCCGTGGGGAGACAGCCAGCGGCGGGGGGGGGCGGCGGGGGTGACGATGCAGGAGTGACAGACAGGAGAAGCATGGTGGGGAAAGTCCAGGATGACCCTTGGCTGTGGCGCCCGACACTGGGCCAAATGCCAAGACGGGAAGTTGGAGGGGGTGGGAGGCCAGGCCTGGGGAGGTGCCCCTGAGACTTCCCAAACAAGAGGCAAGCAGGTGGGCCTCCCGCGGACACCACACCCTCCCAAGGCCCCACACAGGTCTGGGAGCACCCATCCTTTTCACTCGGCACAGCCAATGCCCTGAGCCACCAGCCTTGTGCTCGGGAGTACAACCCTGGCACCCGGCACCCTCTGCGTCCCCAACACCTGGCTCGCACACCTGTTGAAGGAGCCGTGGCAGAGCGCACCCCCCTCGGTACACACTGGCCACTTCCTCTGGTCCCGCCAGGGGATCTCCCCAGGGAGAGCTTTTCCCTGCCGCGCCCCTGCAGCCCTTGTGGCCTGGTGTCCGTTCCAGAACCAGGCCCTGGTGTGAGTTTGTCTCTCTTCCCCCTCAGCCTGGGAGCTTCCTCAGCAGGGAACACTGAATCAGGAAGAAACCCGCAGAGCTTCAAGCTGGCAGAAGAAGCAGGGAAGCGACAGGCCTGAGTAGAGTCGGGATGGCCATGGCGCTGTCCTGTGGGTGAGCCTCGTCCAGCTGTACCGCTGGGGACGGGGCACTTCCCCCCAGGTGGAAAAGGCAGCGTCTTTTGCGATGGCAAAATTAACAGTATGATGTAAGGAGCAGTGTTTATGTACAAGGAAGTCCCTAATTTACACAGCATAGTACAAACAGGCAAGGGGCAGATACCCCCCGCCAGCAGGACAGAGGGGGTACGGCCAGACCCTCAAAAGGACGAAGGATGAAGGAATAAAATTGTGGCCCCAGGTCCCAGATCTGTGTGTCCTCTGGACACTGCGTGCCCTGAGTGACTCCCAGGCCACTCAGGCTTGACAGTGTGGCTGGACGCAAAAGGAAATCTATGGTACCCGGTGGAGAGAGGAGACACCCTGAGTCAACTCCACCGTCACCGCATCGGTAGGCAGGTGCAACGATGCCGGTTGGGAGCCAACCAGGTGTGCGCCTCGGAGAGCCTCGGGGGACCGCGGGGCCTGAGAAACCCGGGGCCATTTCCTCCGCTGCACGGGACCAGGACCTCAGGGACCATCCACGCATCAGGGGTTGTCCGCACGGAAGGCGCGTGCCCGAGATGGGGCGCAAAGGCGACGGCCCGGGGTGTGGGTCCCGAGTGGGGATCCCAGAGTGAACGGTTCCGGGTGGACTGTCCCGAGTGGGGGCCCCGGGTGCAGGTCCGGGGTGGCCGGTCCCGCGTGCAGGCCTCGGGTGGGGACCCAGGCGCGAGGTCCCCTGTGGCCGGTCCCGGGTGGCCGGCAGGTGCGCGCGGGAACAAAGCGGCAGGCGGGCGGCGGCGTACCTGGGCACGCAGCTGGGGCTGGAGCCGTCCACCTCCCAGGTGGCGAACAGGTTCATGGGCACCGGCGTGTTGAGCGCGGCGGGCGCGCCGGCCAGGCCCAGGCGGCCCCGCTCGGCCATGGCGCCAAATTGTTTCATATAACTGTATAATTGGTAATATGCTCTATAATTTTTTAATGTGCTGTATAATTTAATGAAATCTTTCTTTGGGGTGGCATAGTTTATTTTCTTTATAACAGTTGTAATCATGTGAATAAAATTTGCTTACGGGAGAAAGTTGGAAAATTCAGATAATAAAGAAGAATTTTTAAATCACCTGTACTCTTACTCTCCAGAAGTAGATAGCCACTGTTAATATTTTAGTGGACTTCCTTTCAATCTTTTTGTTCCTTTCTGTACATAACACTTAAATAGAATTTTAGTCATTTTTGTATACTGCTCTTTTCACTTATCACACTATAAGCTTTTACTTAAGTTACTAAAAATTCTTTAAAACGTAACTTAATAAAATTTTACCAGCATTTAAGAGAGACGCTCACAAAATTGGAGCAAATGCCTAAAACAATTGAACATTCCATATGTCTCTGTTAGATGAGATGTGTTTGCTGTGAGGAGCACACCACTATTTGCTCCTGGTGGCGTCACGCCAATCACATTCTGTCAGCAGCACTGTATAAGCCACTGAATGCCATTAAAGACTGAGGAAGAAGGAGATCAGGAAAGGCACTAAAACTGTTTCATAGTTTAATATGTGCCATATATTTTTTTGTTTAATCCTTATGACAGTCTTGTGGTGGCTTATTTCCATTTTTCAGGTGTGAAAACGGAAGTCACACAGCTGCCTCTGCGCGTCCCCGACCCCCCAATCCTACGCCTCCTCAGAATCTCCCCGCTCCCCCGTGAACTCCGCGTGTCCCCCGGCGCCCTCCAGTCCCATGCCGGCCCCCGGGTCCTCCGCACCGACTCCTAGACCACCGGGCCCCCGCGCCTCTCGTGTCCCCCGGAGGCTTGCCCACCCTGCGAACTCTCTTTGTCCCCCCCACCGTCTCTTTGTACCCTCCCCCCGCGCCGACTCCCTTGGCGGATCGCCCGGGTGGGGCGTGAAGCAGGAGGACCAGGGTCGCGGGTGGCACAGACCCATCAGCCCCCCTCAAGGAGTTCCTCCCTGCGGGCGCACTGGGGCTCCACACAGGCTCAGTGTGCAGATTGGTCCTCCATAAATCCCCTCTGGAGTGTCCTCTTTCTGCCTGAGCCTCCTTATTATCCAGCAATGCCCTTTCTGCGGTTTTTACACATGACAGTGGAGAACAAATGTCTGGGGGCAGGGGTGGCTCCTGGCCATGGGGCTCACAGTGAACTTGGGGATCCAGGCAAGTAGGAGGCAATGACCAGAGCTACCCATTGGGCCCATGGGGCAGGGAAGGTCAGAAAAGGCCCTAGAAAAGAACATCTAGTTTTGGGGGCCCAAGGAGGGGTCCCCTCCCCCCATCCTTTTGGCGGTGGTTCTGATCAGTCACCAGATCCTGCTGCTGAGATTTAGAAAAAGCTTTTCTGGCATCTATTCTGTTTCTTTGTAGCCACAGTATTCACAGTTGCTTTTCTCTCTAGTTGCTGTCTGTGTCTTGTTGTCTACTGAAAGAAGCCCAGCCCAAGCAAACGGACTTTCTTCCCTCACCCTTGGGGTTTACCATCCAGCACCCCGTTAGCTCTTTCTCCTGCAGAGGACCCCATGCTGGCTCCTTCCTTTGTAAGAGCTCAGCCTCCAGCTCTGACTCCCTATCTGGAGCTGCAAACAGCTGTGGCTGCTTAAAGCCAGGGTGGCATTTTGGAGAGAACAAGAGAATCTGTGTTTCCCACATGTTCCTGCGCCTTTGGGGTGGTACAGCTGAAAGCCACGCGGGGCTGTCTGTCCTCAGCCAGCTGACTGGGTATTGTCTTACATCGCTGCTCCTGCCAGGCAGAGTGCCTGTGGGTCTCATACCTCTGAGATGGGGAGAGGGAGGTGTCCGGAGAACAGGCACCAGCCCCCTGTGAGGACAGGGGCCCAGTGACCTCGGCGTTTGGCGTGCTGCGGTGCCGGATGGCGAGAGGTGCGGTGGCGTCAGATGAATGGGCCACCTGACACTTTGTGTCTGTGTGCGCTGGCATCTCACCCAGGAGAGGAGTATACCTAGGGGTCAAGTGAGGAGATGTGGGGTGACTAAGCTGTACACAAGGGGGCTTAACACCAGCTGCCTGCATGGTAGAGCTGTGCCCCTCCTCGGTCCCAGGGACCACTGTGAACCCTTCATGGACTGGACAGCCCTGTTCCATCCCCAAGTCACAGATGAGGAAACAGGCACCCAAGGGTATGCAGCCCCTAAGGGGAGGGGCCCGGGTGTGGGCTCCACAGTCTGGTCCAGAGGTGTCCCGATAAGCACGACCGTGGAAATGCTTAAATCTTTCTGCGAGGCAGGGAGGCAGAGACTGGAAACAGGCTGTGTGCTCTGTACCTGTGACTCTGTTTTTATTTGTTCCTTTTTAAAGGTAGGACCATATGGACACCACAATGTTAGTGGTGGTGAGATGGAGTGGACAGGTATCACTTTGTGATCAGAGTCACCTTTTTGGCCAGAACCTCTTCCATGCATTGCCACCCTCTGTGTTTGAAAATGACTCTGGACTGTGTGTCCCAGGATGAGTGCCCTGAAAGCTGGGAGGATGCCCCTCCAAATGGTACAGTGTGACACATACTCCCCACACACACATCCCGCAAATGTTTGGAGGACATCTGTTCTTTCTGATGGCTGTTTCTTTAGAACAGGAACTTGGTTAAAGAGGACCCTCCCTGGACAACTGGTGTGGCACGGTTGGGGATGAAGCTGGAGAAGAGGGTTTGTCTAGAGCACTGAGGTCCCTGGAGGGCACCTGAAACCCTTTGCTGAGGACCCGGTAGTGCGCCACCTGCCTGCCAAGTTTTTCAAACGCATTAAGGCCTCGGCTTTCTAAACGGGGCGGTAGGACGGCCGCTGTGTTGAAGTCCCCCGACTCCCGGTAGATGGGAGGAGATGGAGGCTGGCCGCTCCTTCCCTGCGATCCCACCCATCGTCGCTGGGGGGCCCTGCGCCTTCAAGTCCGGGTTCTCGCTTTTCTACTGGGGCGCTCTGGACCTCCGGCTCTTTGGAAACCCATTCGTCTGTTCAGCCTGAGTTAAATCCCCCCAGGCGTGGGAGGCAGTGCAGCACCAGGCAGGGCGGCCCCTGACTGCACGAAGCTCCCCTCCGGGTGCGGACACCGCGGGGCTCCCTCCGGCAGGAGCCTTGGGGCGCGTCTTCCCGCGCCTGGAGCGCAGCGGGCTGGGGCGCGCCGAGTCGGGGGAGGCTGCTGTGCTCCTCCGCCCTGTGGCCTTTGGAGCGGCCCCAGCCGGTCAGGTGAGTGGCCAAGGCCTCCTGCAGGGCGCAGACACCTGTTCAGCGGGGTGGTTCCAGCTGCTCCAGCGCGCAGCTCGGCGGCCTCTTCTCTTCCTAGGGCGGTGCTGCGGGAGAGGCGCAGGGGCGGGGCAAGACTCTGGCCGGCCCACGCTCCTGGCAGAAACCCCTGGATGTGACCTATGTCCCGTCCACTCCTGTGGGTGGAAGATGTGGTGTGGCTGAGGCCCCATCCCTGAAGTAGGGGTGGGAACTCTTCACAGAAGCCACAGCAGACGACAAGGAGTGGCCCGGGAGGCAGTCCTCTTACAGGGAAAGAACAGCTGTGACCTCCCAGGGCAGGGCAGGTAGGTGTGCTGGGAATGCTGTGAGCCCGAAGTCTGTGTCCGAGATGCTCCGGGAAGCTGCAACAGGATGGCGGGCATCTGGCACCAGAGCCGCAGGGGTGGGTGGGCTCAGCTTGAGGGCAGCACCAACACTCCTTCTGTTGATATTCAACATAGGGTTTGAGATTCAGACACTTAGGATGCCTGCCTGTCTTATTCACCTGTCCACCCCGGCTGAGTTTCGTAAGCCAGGACGGCATGCAGCATCTGTCTCCCTGGGATGCCCTGTAAGTGGCTGGCATGGAGCAGGTGCCCCACTGATCCCTACCGTTGACTGACTGCGAAAGAAGCTGGAATTCCATCAGGAGCTGCCTAGTGAAAACGTCCCAGGTGACCCTTACAGAGCTGAGTGGAAAGGTTCAGACATTTGTTCACTTCATAAATGATCATCGGGCTAGTTTCCAACCCTAGGAACACAGGAAAGAAAAAGCAGAACCTGATTCTTACCCCCATGGAGCGTACATTCTCCCGGGGAGAGAATATGAACAGGTCAACCAACACACAAAAACATTGTACTTTCCGATAACGGGTGTTGGGACTGAGAGAGCGTGGGCAGGGATGTGACGTGGAGCTGAGGATGGAAGGACAGTGAGGTGCCAGTGTGGGGGAGGGCAGTGCTGGCCTTGGAGCTCCCTAGAATCCTGTCTGCTGGGCTCAGGCTCTGGAGGGCTGGAGCGTCCCCAAGAGTTTAGGGCGGGCCTGCCCTCAGCCGGCTGAGTGTTACTGAACAACAGAGAACAGAGACTGAAGACCACGGGCAAAGGCACAGCGGGGTGTTTACAGAGGGGCCAACGGCACGTCGTCCAGTGCGCTGGGGGCACAGAAGAGAGTACGGGGAAAGGAACCACAAGCCAACCATCCAGAGAGGTCTGCACAGGGGCACATCTCGGCAGGCTTTTTCTATGCATAACCATACTTTAAAAAAAAATCTGGGTGGAAGTGCAAATACTGTATTTTTTTTCACCTAACAGCAAACTATGAGCATTTTGCTGTATCTTTAAATGCTTTTCTAGAGTGTGGTTTTCAACGGCCTTTTGGTATTCTGTGATGTGGATATGGTACAATCTGTTTACCCAGATGTCCATTTGCGGGCATTTAGACCAACAACATATATGTGGTAAAGTGTTATTGGCATCCCGTTAAAATGGTCAGTTAGCCCTTAAAACGTTAGTAAGGGCTAATGTTTTAGTGGGAGGAAGGAAGAGGTTATACCGTCATTATGAATAGAATTTGGTTGTATCCTGAGAAAATGCAAGAGAAGAACCTGGAAGAGTGCTGTAACTAGGCAGAAGTAAGACTGTAACAGGGTGTAAGATGCAAAGGGACG